CTTGAACCGCTTTGCAACAATACCCGGTCCTTTGTGGACATTGATGATGATGGTATTATAAGTATGATGGGATTATACTATATTCGAAAGATCAAATTTTTCCAGGAAGTTAACATGGAAAAGCGGTATGTGAATGAGAAGTCTGATAATCTTTGACTTATTTTAAAAAAAAGGTTTTATGACTAACGGTGAACAGTTCTTAGACCATTGGATTCCGACCCGATGGTTCAATGATAACGTGCTTTCCCTGAAACCCGAAAGCCCTGGGTCCGATCTCTGGTGGGGTTATAGGTGTGCACTGCTGAAGAGTCCCATATTGGGACGAGACGGCTGTCCAGTGCTCCCGGGTTTTTAATGGTTCTCCAACTGATGTCAGTCCGTGATGAATACCATCTTGAAAGCAAAAATCATTGTCATATAGCCGTGATCTTAAGAAGAATAACAAATTGGAAGACAATCAATTGATGGTTGTTTCATCCTTTCTCAAAACCCCCCATAAAACGTACTTTTACAAGTTATTTGTCTAGAGGTCAAGTTTGAAAAACTGAAGCTTGGTGTGGTAATCACTTTTATCCTTGACTTATTATCGATTTCGATTTACAACTCCGATTATCTTAAAGCACAGAGTTAGTTAACTTTTGATGTTCAATGTCTGTATATGTATCTTGCTGAGAACTGATTAATGTAAAGTCCGGCTAAACAAAAGCCGTTTATCCTGAGCGATGATTGAAAGTGAGATGAAAATTTTGGCCAAGTGTGGACTCGAACCAGCGACCGTCGGGTTTCCGGCCCAGTGCCCTACCAGCAGAGCTAGAAGACCCGAAAAGTGACCAGATTTTTATTCCACTTCGATCACCAAGGGTTTTGTCTGAGTACTATGTGGATTCGTGACGCCTGACTACCGCTTGATCATAATCACACTGGCTGTCCAGTCAGGACTTCTCATCCCAATCCAAATTTACTTGAATTAGAGAGGGATAGTACGGTTAAGCAGTAGAAGGGGGTAACGAATTCATATACCAGTAGGGAAAAACCCTTGGTGAATGAAGTGAAATAAAGATTTGATTAGCAGTCGGGTCTTGTGGATCAGTTGGCAAAGCACCGGGCTGGAAACCTGATGGTAGCTGGTTTGAGCCCCACCATGGCCCCAATTTTCATTTCACCTTTAATCATCAACCAGTATCAATACTAGTCTGCCAAACCACACCTATCTCAGATAGTCAAAATGATAAACAACTGTTTAACTGATATAACTGTGTGATGAATAAAACCTTCAAACTTATCAGAAACCTCTAATTTCATAGTCTTTGAAATGTATTCACAGCTTCATCACCAAAATAATAACAAAGAAAGCTTGTTTGCCTAAGGGGATGAAAAATAATAGCAGATGAACAATGATTATAATAATAAACCTCATTACTAAAAGATTAACATTTCTCAATATCTCTCACACTAAAGACACTGAGTAAAACTGTAGAAGAAGAAAGACATCAATTGCCATACTACTGTCAACGTTTCATTCATACGTTTTATTTAAAGGACCTGGCTAACTACACTGAAGTTAAGCGACCAATCATAGTCATGCGTTCATAAAAAGTGAAAAGTTATTCCAATAACAAAGAAGATAAAGGAGAAGAAACGAAAATGACAGCTTGTATAAGCATCTTACCAACCAGGACAGTAGAGGAGTATGAACATCTAAATAGACGTATATATATATATATATATATATATATATATATATATATATATATATATATATATATATTGGTTGGAGGCAGTCGGTAGGAAGCCCTGCATCTAGGTTTCGCGCTTATCGACACTGCTCAGCAGGACATCAACTTCAAGCGAAATAATGTCCTCTCAGAGATGCGAATAGGTGGTCAGAGACCTTGTCACCGAGCTACTGGGCTGTGATCGATCTCCTGTAGGACTGTATTGACGGGTCAATGGAGAGTGGTCAATTTCATGTTCGAACCTCTGAAGAGAAATCAGTTCTGTTGAGGTTGCAGATAGACCTTATGGACAAATACCAATAGGCAGAAAACCTAGGTTCAGGATTTCCTGTCGGTTGCCTTCAAACAACTAACATCAATTCAAGTGTATTACAATGGTTAGTGTTCTAGTTTGGTAACCATACTGCAAAATAATCGATAAAATTTGGTCAGTACTTAAGATTAGACAACATGAAATTGACTACTCTTCAATGGTCAACACACAATATAAAGATGAAAAAGTTGCGAAAGGGTAATTAATATAAATACTCATCTACAAGTGCCGACAAAAGAAGTAAAACACATGTATAATATTGGACAGATATTTTGTTAGTGACAACAATAGCAGGTACACAAAATAAGTATTATTACAATGAATAGTAATTGATAATTAGTATTGATGCAAAAGGACACGCTAATTGTATACCAACATCCAACTATTCATGAATACATACATACTACACTTGCCAATATGTATCATCCCTTCAGAATACAAAATAATAAAAATGAAGATTTGCCTGTCACAATAATGATAATAATATGTATAGAAAATAAAAAAAGATGAAAAAGGATGGTAGAGTTGACAAATAAACATGTTTTATTCTGTATATGTAGAGTATTTAACACAAAGAGTACCGGAAGAAATAATGATAATTATGGTAATAACAATGACAGTGACTACATTGACCATCGATACTCTTCAAAAGAAACGAATTAGAAAACAAAGTAAGTCAAAATTAACTAGTTTCTAATGTGCTAGCACGTACAAGTCCAGGGTTGATACCATTGAATGTAGACGAAATAGAAGAGAAAGTAGAATATGACCTAGGGGTATATATAGCATACACATGAGGATGGATATGACAGTATTTACCTGAGCATAAGGGAAAGCTGTGAATCGGTTAAAGGTGATATACAAAGAAATCTGTGGACAAAATTATCAGGCTCATTGATACGCCCCATCATCACATCGTGTATAAGGAATATTGAGGAGGTTTATGCAGTTTAAGGTACTGAGTTGCCAGTGAGAGAAGAACGGAATATTACTCTAGGGTTGTGAATTTCTAAAATTTCTCTGCATACTTTCTAACTCATTAACACTAAAAGTTCTGCATCATAATGCTAAGTCATTGAGTTTAGTGATTATAATTAATATCATTATGTTGGTTAATTGAGTTGAATCAACTGTAGGAACTACAAAATAGTGGACATAAATGATTTCTAAACAATTCAAAGGTGACAATTCTGCTGAATTCAAACCAGTCATCTACAGTATGTATGCATTAAAAACCTACATATATGTCGCGCTATGAATACAGGAAGAGCTGTTGACATCAACTTTTGTTAGTAATAATAATAATAATAATAATAATAATAATAATAATAATAATAACCTTATTGCAGACGGTATTTTTGACATAAAAGGGAATTCTCAGAATATAATATTTCAATACATTTAATTCTTGTACAATATTTTCAAATGAAATAGCTATAACATGTAAATAATGTTAATGAAAGGATGTTATGTATAACGGCCAGCTGTTGTTAAGCTTATTTAGAAATAAACTGCAAGGAGACAGGTCGAAAAAAAGCACACGTTATTTTGATGGCAATGGTACAGAACAACCAGCACGAAAAACTACACTTCACGATAACTATTTCAGGAATAGTTATAAGGTGTGTAAATGTATGCCTAAGAACCGATTACTACATATCGTGATTTTTTCTCTCAATTTTATTGTAGCCTTCCTAAACGATAGACTGGGAACGCTTTTGAAATCTGCTAGAATACATATATTACGATTTTAAAATATTTGAATGATTAAAACAAATTCAAAAGGAAAAAATTCAATGTGATTTATATTTAGTAAGTAATTTGCGGTGGCTTTAAGTTTAAGTACACACACCCACACACAGGTGTTTTATTTAAATTTTAGTTACCATTTTTATGGAGTGACTTTAAAGATCACTTTAGCAACTGCTGAAATAATCAAACAGGTTTCGATATTTCGCCTAGGAATGTAGTTTTTTTAAGAAGCCTAACTAGCTACCTCAGCAACTGATAAGGTAGTCTTTAAAGTCACCCTTATGATCAATTCATTCCACCTAACCGACGATGTGTGCAATGACAATTGTACTAGAAGTTATCAAAATACAATACAAGTAAACAGCCAACTCATTAGTCATTGCAAAAAGAATACGTAAAGTAAAAAGTTTTAGTTGGTATATCATGAACTGCAGACATACACAATCCAAGACAAATGAAGGTATGTGTGCATTAATAATTTGGTTGACAGGATCATAGTACTATGCTATATGAGTTTGGGGTGATAAACAATAAGAAGTGCGTAGAGAACTAGTTAGAGACAAGAAGAGCTAGAAGGAAACAAATAAGACTACAATAATACGGTGCTTAGTTCTCCCCCCCCCTGCATGAGATAAGAGGTCAATGCACCTGCGCTACTACCACCAATTCTGATTCACGTTTCTCAAGACTAATAATGATGACTTCCTAGAATCGCGTTAACTAGGAGATCAGAGAGGTTACAGACCACCAACAGGTTTAAACTAGTAGTTGATACTTTTTAATGTAGTCATCTTGGAGCATCTTCAACCTTACGCTTACTTCGATCAAAAATGCAGGTCAAATTACGCAATAGTTTAATAGAAACAAGATCATTTTACTTTAGAAGTATGTAGGGATTTATTGATTTCAAAGTGATATTCGTCCCAGACTGACATCGGTTGACACAAGTCAGTAAATGTGGACCACTTGATTGCGAACCAGTACCTCAATGGTAACATGTTCTCCCCGAGACCCGAAAATCTTGGGTTCAATCCCTGGCGGGGTCATGGGTGCACACCACTGAGTTCGATGCTATAACGAAACAGCTATCCACTGTTTTCAGGTTTTCAATGGTTCTCCAACTGATTTCAGTCAGTGATGAATATCGCCTTGGAAACAAAATAATGTAATTCAAAACAAGCAAGCTATTCCCAACTTACGAGCACCATCCCCATCTCGATCAAATTCATCTATCATAGCATGAAGTTCTTGATCGGATAAATTCTCTCCAAGCTCCCTAGGGATAAGAAATGAAAGGGATATAAGAAATGAGGATTTGGATTTACTGATAATGTTATTAAAAAGGATACTGATTGAAAAGTTTAGCAAACGCCCACCACCTGACGAAAACTTTCAAAAGTTAAACCCGATATTGCCATTCAAACGGGATATGTTAATATGTTACAATAATACAATGCCGCATAGATTGTTTTCGGAAGCTGGAAGATCAGTCTGACAAGTTTTCCTAAAACTGTGTCTGATAAACTATTTTTCAATATGTAGGATAAGACAATTTCTATTTTAACAATAAATATTGATTCTATTTTACGAGACAAAAACAAACAGAATGAATCACTGTCGATTAACATATGTCTAGGATCTAGGTGAAAATGGGAAGAAATTATAGTGTGAAAAATTATCACTTCAACTGAATGTTATTATTTTTCAAGTTGGTATTCATCATGGACTGATATTAGATGGAGAACTATTGGAGACCTGGGGGCACTGGATAGATCTTTCGTCCTAGTATGGGACTCTTCAGCAGTGCGAGCCCATGACGCCACCAGGGATAGAACCCAAGACCTTCAGGTTCCGGGGCCAGCACGTTACTATTAGATTCTGACCCAGTAGCTCAATGGCAACGTGCTGACCACGGGACCTGAAGGCTTTGGGTTTGATTCCTGGCGGGCAGCGTCATGGGTGCGCACTGCTGAGGAGTCTCGTACTAGGACAAAACAGCTCTCCAGTGCTCCCAGGTTTCCAATGTTTCTCCAACTGATATCAGTTCATGATGAATACCAACTTGGAAAATCACTTAATCCCCACAAACTGCCAAAATAATTTAAATGTTGGTAAGCGAAAATGTAGTGCATTGACTTGAGGACTTAATTTGCAACTGATGAGTTTCAGATTCAAATCATGCTGTCTCAACCTTGACCTGGCTGCAGTGAAATTTCCCACCAGTTATAAGTCGAGTGGTCAAACCAATGAGCTATAGCTCTGGTATTTGACACGAGATACATAATGTATGCAATTACATAAATGAGGTTGATTTTGAACTCGACTAAGCATCAAAGCAACAATTTCAGCCATTTCAGAAACTTTAGTCACTATACACATCGATTCATGGTTCCAAAAAGTAGTCAATGAATTTGTAGTCTTGCTTTTCAAAAATTTATACAGGGAACTAATGATATGAAATTTCTAATATCTCACCTTAGTTTGACCACTTGTCAGCGATTCCTCTGCAGCATTTATCAAACCGGGCAAAATGTACATTGCGGTAGATGATGACTAATTATGCGTATTTACAAATCTTGAAGACCTCAGTCAATGAAAAATCTTATCCTTACCAATCAATTGTCTTCATGCATTAAACATCTTTCATTCGGTTGAAGAAACGATTCCTTATTATTGGCTTTACCTTATTCAAGTAAGATTGTAAAGGCGATGAGGTTTAATTAACATTTGTAGTTTTCTTGTTCAGACCGAGTTTTGTATTTAATAGGGAATAATAACTTAACTACTAATTTTGAATTTTCCCATTCGACAAGGAAATGGAGTTTTATTACTGCCTTGATCAACTGAAATCATGTACCAAAACTAACCATTCTGGTAGTAAGCATAAATATGACAATTTCTAACACTAACTACGAAATCTCCAAATAAAGTACCCAGAAAGTAATAAAAGATGAAGTAAGATATATGCCTACACACTTTTTAAAAACCTTAGTTATCAGAAGACATGAATCATTTCATCATCAGATCCATAAAATGCTGAGTAAAATAGATACCAAAAGTAACAATAATAACTCAACAGTTTATCGAACCGGAATCATTCATATGATAGCCCAATTTCACACTTATTACTATTAAAACAAATCAAAAAGAAATGACTCAGACACATTTGTTCATCAGGTGATGACAGCTACAGAAAACGAGATGAGAAATATTCCGATAGATACAACAAGCTACTAATTAGTAACCATGTTCAAGGTAAAAAGATTTTATGACATCATGATATCGGTATGATTTGTATGAAAAGAATACTATTCTAGAGATTATTAAACAAACTAAAAACTGTCCTTAAACGGTAATATTTTCAATGCTCTAGCCCCCAAATCAGAAGATTACTAGTGGACTTTATTATATCCTTATTGAAAGTAAACTTCTGCATTGGTTCAAGTTGTTACATCCTTCAGCAGTATATGAATTGCAAAACGAATAATAATGTCGATGAGGCTGTGACGACGACATTTTTACGGCTGACAGTTGACTGTAACGGCCTGCAATTCATTTCATGTTAGTAGGACTACAGTAATGTGCAACCACTTCTACTATTAAAAACTGCTAAATTAGAGAATTCAAGGCGCATTTACGAAGGCATAAGTTGGTAATCGTTAAACTTCTATCAGCCTATTGTCACTTTAAACAATTATCCCATTCCCGAAAAGCTGTCATCAGACGTATACAAATGAAATACCCATCTTTTCTTGATTACAAGCAAAGAAGATTGTCTCTTTTATCCCTCAGTTACTTGTCTCTCCATTTTTTTATAATGCTATCGTACTATGTGATGAGCACTCCGTGATATCCGCATTATTATGATACTGTGTTCGGATGATCAAGGAGAGATGTCTTCCTAATCAATGAATGTCATATTCGTGAATCACTGTTCTGCAAAGTAGTCGAGATAACAGTTGAATCACTAGGTTTGAAGTTAAGCATAGGCTACTAAACAATAGGATATGAAACTGGAGAAAGTTTCACATCTTCACAAATCGGGTTGGGTATTTCATTTGTATACATCTGATAACAGCTTTTCAGGAATGGGATAGTTATTTAAAGTGAGAAAAGGCTGATGGAAATCCATGACTGCCAACTTATACCTTCGTAAACGGGTCTTGGATTCTCTGATTTCTCAGTTTTTAACAATGGAAGTGGTTGCACATCAAATGAAGAGAGTTGTAGGTCGTCCTCATAACCTCATCGATATTACCATTTATTTTGATATTCTCACACTGCTAAAAAATGTAACAACTTGAACTAATGCAAAAATTTAGTTTTAATAAGGATATAATAAACTGTACTAGTAAGCTTCTAATTTAAGTACTAGCTTGTTGGAAATATTACTGTTTAAGGACAGTTTTTAGTTTGTTAAATAATCTCTGGAACAATATTTTTTTCTACATGCAAATCATAATAGTATCATAATTCTCCTGAATGGAAAAGAAATTGGTACTTTCTCATCATTGTTATCTTATAATTGAGAAGTGTTGAAGAAACCTTGAAATTTATTCCCATACTATATGTTACATAGTTTTAAAGTACAACTGGCTGGCGTAATCAGTCAACGTGCTATAAATATTTAGATTAGTTTTATAGACTAGATGCAATTTGGACTGTTCTTGTCGATATTTTCTTGAGGCTATTTACAGAAAAGCAGTAGTTATTGATTTCCGTGTATTGAAGCTCCTGACAGTGCTTTCTTGAGTATTTCAATGAACAAATATCAAGGTACACCCTTTTTGTAGGTTTCTGTTGATGAATTCCGGTTTAAAGACTGAATAGTCTATCCAAACTCACCCTTGTTCTCAAGAATCTGAAAAACCATCTACACTCTATATGAAGTTTACTAGAGAAGTATGTAGTAGTATATTTGAAATTTAGAGGATGATAAGAAGTAGATATTTTTGTGCCATTGTGATAGATTTCTATACGGACCCCTTTAGACTTCTACTCATTCCTTCTGTTCATTCCGAAGATTCCTCCACCTCATATACTTTATCCAAATTGACATACAGGATACAACCCCTAATAGTCCCAGCTTTGCAAGCTCCACTGAAGATAACGAAAGGCCTACCAAGAAATACTGGAGTTCAGTAATCAATGAAACCATCAGAAAACTTACAACTCAAGTTCCAAATAATCGGAATTAAATTCAACTCTCTAGTTATTGTTTTGTTTTACTAAAGTTTTGCACAAGAAGCTTGGTAAGGAAGAGTACATTTTAATACCTTAGAACCTTGACCACTATCATATTTCCTTAGATTTTACAGTCCCATATAATAATTCTATAGTAGGAAAATGTGATATCTTTAAAAGTCTCTTCAAAAAAATCTATTGCATTTCTTTTTCAACAACAATATTTGAAATAATTTGAAGTACACTTTCTTGATAGGCTTTATCAAAGTTGGAATATTTGGATTTCCCTAGCTTAGGAATTTGACGGAAACTATTCTGTTCAAAGTCATAAGTTGTGTACTTGTAGATTTTGTGTTCATTGAATGACTTATCTCAAAGTTAAAATACTTCTCTGAAGTTTTAACTTGTTTATTATGGGAAATTTCAGAAGCCATATGGTTAACACAAGCTCGCAAATTTCATACATGCTTAAGGTGAGTTTACATAATCCAAAATTTCATTAACCAACCATCTGCAATGATAACAAAAATGTTGCATAAAACATACATTATACGATCTTCCATCACAAACGATTTCATGAGTTAAAAAATTCAAACAATCGGATAATGCCTTACGTTTATTGTCACTTCGTTGTTTGGGTAGTAGAAAATTTCTTTGAATGTAAAATATCGATAGACTGCACAAGATGCTGACTACTTTCTTTCATTCTCTTCAATTGCGATTTTTCATCGCTTTCACTGGAAGTTTAATTGCTTTTCCTCAGTTGTTTAAATTTATTTTAATTTAATTACTCATCAAACATTTCGTTTACTTTTGTCTGCATTCTTCCCAAGAAGCTATTCAGGTCTATATCACCTTTGAGTTTTATCAAATTTCCTTACTTAGCCCACTAGAAATGCAAAACTGTTCTCCTTCCATGTAAAAGATAAGCTTCCTTGTCTGACCGCTTATATGCGCATCTACCAGTTTAGCTGCTCTTGTGAATTAAGGTGTATGGGACACAGCCAAAGAATGTTTTCTACACGCATACAAGAGTACGTCCCAGATCGGTTTTATAAGGATGAAAGAAAGGGTGTCAGAAGTTCTATTCCA